TCCTCCCAAGGCCAGAGTTTAATAGTATCCTTGCTGGCTGGTGACAACAGTGTTAGAAGAAACATGACATCTTGACTGTGATGGGCATCAAAGCAAGTGTGAGGGGCTTGACTAAAAGGACAGAGAACAGGGTGTGGGACCCGATCCTGATCACCCCTAAAACAGCTACCTGGGAATGCTCAGAAATGCTGAGGGGACACTTTGAAGGAAGATAATTTCTGGCTATGATAACTTGGGCATTGAAAAGAACTGTGACCTTGTAATGTTCTCACATGGTGCTAAGGCCTGGAATATTTATAGGATGCTTATCGCAAAGCCTGCATATTATATATAATTAAATCATCAAATGTCTGAACAATAGGAATTCAAATCTTGATTTCATTTCTGCACAACAAAGCTTGACTCTTAAGGAATTTAAAAACACTCCTCTCTTACCTCCACTTCCACATCTAAGAAATTTATGTCAAGTGAGGTCTCGCCCTGGATGTAAAGGAATGTTAAGACAAATTTAGGGATTTACATGGGAGAATGGGTGTGACTTCTTAAATCAGTTCAAACTTTAAGTGTCCCCTACTATTTAATGGGTTCTTCCTGTGCGCCATTGTAACCCCTCCACCATAATGCTATACATGGAGTCTGGAAGTTCAATCCCCTAAAATACACAGATTCATCATTAAGGGGTTAGCAAAATGACTACCCCAGTGCCCCAGGGGTCCAGATGCAGGTTTAAAATCCTCTGGCTCCAGCTTGGGGTTCTAGGTGGTGGTTTTCAATACAGATGAGAATTTTCTATGTTCTGAAATGTCTGGGGATCCCAAGAGAGCAGCCATGATTCCAGGAATGTTTTATCAGTTGGCATCCATTTCGTAGGCCTTGTCTGAGGATATTGGACATGGAGAGTACTGGAAATGCAGGGACCCGCCCTTTTTTCTCCCTACTTCCTGAGATGAGGTGGCTGCCATTTCTCCTGCCCACCTTCCGCTCCCTGTCCCCCTCCGAGCTGTGTCCAGTCCTCTCACAGAAGAGCTGGGTGGAAGAGGAGAGCTGGACTCATGGCAACCAAGTTCAATTTTTTTATTTCAGAGGCTTAGTCCATTATTTTATTCAATATATTGAAATATAACATAGTACATTGTTGAATACAGTATATTTTAAAATGTCTGGTTAGTCTTTTTGTGGTTTTAAATTGCTATAAAATATGTTTCTTTTCTGAGAGTGATGTTTAAAGGCCAGGAAGTCACTTACATTTTTATTATTTTAATGATATTTTTCGTTAAACCATATGGCTCTGCCTTGTTTAATTAGACATTAACCAAAGAACCCATCACATTCGAGCAAGAGCTATACTCCGCAAAAATCAATATTTTAAATCCTAGCCTCCAGCTCTTTATGCAGAAAGGTCTTGGAATAGAAGCTCTCCACACAGGAAGGAAAATTTAAAAAAAAAAAAAAAAAAGGCAAAACAGGCCAGCTATAAAACTGTTGTTGTACTTGTCAAAATCTAACTTGATAATAATTTACTAAGCTATCTCTATAATGCAGACCTCTAGAAAACTTTTAATGTCTAGCATAGACCCAGGTGGGTCTATCTTAGAAATGCGTTAAGTTTTTGTTGCATCAATGTAAAAAAAATGAATTAATGAACGCATATCGTCCATCCTATAGATTTTACAGATCACAGAGACAAGGTTCAGAGAGGTCAAGTGCCTGCCCAAAGTCACACAGCCAGAGAGTGACTAAAATGGTACTAGAATGTGTGTTAGCTGGTTATCAAACCAAAATTATTCTACAAACATCTTGGACTTGGATTTTAAAAACCCCAGTTCAATTTTAAAACTTCATTTTTTTCCCCCTAGAGACATTTTGCCCCCATGGTGGTTAATTTTGTGTCAAATTGGCTAGACTAGGGTACCTAGTTGTTTGGTCAAACAGCAGTCTAGATGTTGCTGTGAAGGTATTTTTTAGATGTGATTAAAATTTAAATCAATAGATCTGCAGCAAAGAAGATTTCTCTCCATAATGTGAATGGGGATCATCCAATCAGTTGAAAGTTTTAAGAGAAAAGACTTAAGGGCTCTCCAGAAGGAAGAAATTCTCCCTCCAGACTGCCTTTGGACTCAAGGGTGCAGCTTCAAATGTGAAATAAGTCAGACCGAGAAAGACAAATGCTCTCTTCTATCACTCATGTGGAGCCCGAGAAAGCCAAACTTGGAAAAACAGAGGGTAGAGTGGAGGTTACCAGGAATTAGGGTAGGAGAAATGAGGAGATACTGGTCAAAGGGTACAACTTCTAGTTATATGACTAACAAGTTTGGGGATCTAATTTACAGCCTAGTGATTATAGCTAATAATACTGTTTCACATACTTGAATAATGCCAAGGAGACATCTTAAATGTTCTCACCACAAAAAAAGAAATGGTAACCATGTGACATGATAGATGTGTTAACTAATGGTTTTGCAATATATACATGTATCAGATCAACACACTCTACACCTTAAACTTACACAATATAATGGTGTCAATTATATCTCAATAAAGCTGGGGGCAGATTTCCAGCCTGCAAGCCTGCCATGCAAATTTGGGATTTGTCAGCCCCCACAATTTCATGAACCAATTCCTTAAAATAAATGAACCAGTTCCTTAAAATATTTGCCTATTCTATCTATCTATCATCTATCTATCTATCTATCTATCTATCTATCTATCTATCTATCTATCATCTATCTATCTATCTATCTATCTATCTATCTATCTATCTATATCTATCTACCTCTCTATCTCCCATTGGCTCTCTTTCTCTGGAGAGCTCTAATATAGTCCTCAATAAAATTTACAGATGAACAGAATTAAAAACATGTTTGTTGTTTGATAGGTCAAGCAATGTTCTGGGCTCTGGGCAATAAGAGGACTGTAGAGATCATCTTAAAGAGTTCTGAGTTGGAAAAGGGACCATGAAGTTGCCTCATCTTGGGGTAGATTACTATGAAATTCTGTACCCTCAATTAGGCATGGTCCTGAAGAATGAGATCATCCCTCCAGTTGCCTGGGTGGGCAGCTCCCGCTGTCAGACCTGTTCTTTTTGGTGGTCCTATAAATCATCATCTCTCAATAGATGTTCTTCAGCCATCTTCTTGGAAATCTGGGCTCCCTCTTTCTTGATAGGAAGTTTTCGATACTTTTCTCTAGGAACCATCTCAGCTCGAAATTATACCTAAACATTTTCACTGAAATCTTTCAGTGAAAATCATTATATTAGGCAGTTTATGCAGGTAAAACTTAAGCTATATTTATCCACTTTGGTTAATACAAATAAATTCCTATTTAAAAAATTTCACAAGCAAGATTATACACATGAACTAAATTTTCACAGCACTCTAAAGTAGGGGTAAAATTATTATATAATACAAGCACTGTAGAAGAGGGGCCCCTGAAGAATGAGGGATCCCCTCCAATTCCTCATTATTATAACATAGCAACATCTCAACTCGAGGAGAAACCTACCCATTGGCATAAACTAAGATTGTCCCCGTTCAGTTGGTTGTTGGGTTAGAACTCTGTGAGTTCTGTCAACCCCCTAGCAAAACTAACTTTCCCCAAGACTTACAGACTATTGCTCATCTCAAAGACTGTCTGCTGTAAATTCTTGAAGGAAATCTTTTGTAGTTCTCCATGCCATGACCACCCCATCTCAGGAGACCACCTATGAAAGTGCCCTCTTAGCCCTGCAAGCTTGGGCTAAGGCTGAAAGAGGAAAATGGTAGAAAAATTATTTTCCTAAGAGAGGTAGCTTCCGCTCTTCACTATTCTGAGGATGCTCGAGCGACTGATAGCTGCTAAATCCTAATCAGCAAGTTAATTTATCTCAAATCTTAAAGCAGCCAGCAGCTTGAATGACAGGATTTACTCCCAGAGAGCAATCTTTCCCCCTTGATCAAACTTCTGCTATGATCTACAGACCTGCCACAGCTCACAAAGATCCGCGGTGTGATAGCTCGCAGAACTTCACCAAAACGAGAGAAAAAGGCTGCGCTCCTGCGCGCGCCAAGAGCTCACCGTTCCTGCTGGTCTGCAATTCCCGCTCCGTTTGCGCTCCGCTCACTCAACCTTCGCTCGCCCACGGCGCATGCGTGGGGCGCAGACATTTTTATGTGTGTGTAAGTGCCAACTTCTAACTCTGACAGCAGATGCTTTTACTTCAAGCTTACTTCGCTCCTCTTTTGAAATCGGTTTTTAAAAAAATCTGCCTGGACTTTCTTCTGAAACAAGCCAGTATTGATTTATAATTGTTTATTAGGTGTCCTGCACATGCTGCTCAGCAGGTGAAATGTAATGGACTAGAGATCTCAGCGGTTATGCTGCCGAGAAGCCAGACAGCTTACGTTCTTATAGACACTCAAACAATATTAGGGTCATTTGTTACACAGCGTTGAAAATTGAGGTTTATTATTCTGGTTCATAAAACGGGGTTACTCTTCACTGAAAAATGGTCGATGGGCTGTCACCAAATAACTGCCTAACCTCTGGTACCAGTCAGGGTTCAACTAAAGAAGCAGAGCCATCAGGTGGTATGTATGAAACAATTCATTGCAAAGAATTGACTCCTGCGGTTGTCAAGGGGTGGGAGGAGGCAGGTCTGTAGTCGGGGGCAGGCTGTCAGCAAGGCCAGGCTGGAAATCTCATCCACGCCAACACGATTAAATCTGCTATCCACAGGAAGAATTTCTTCTTCAGGGAAGCTTCCACTTTGCTCCAAAATCCTCTCAACTGATTGAGCCAGGCCCACCTGGACTGTCCAGAATAACCTCCTTATTTTAAGGTCTCCTGATTAGCAACCTTAATTCCATCTGCAACTTTACTTCTCCCTTGCCTTATAACATAACATACTGACAGACTGTGGACATCTTTGGGGGCTATTTTTCTGCCTACACATCTAGTCTCTAGTAATCTTTTTCTTGTTATTGTCGAGGGAGAGAGAGAATCTTCCCACACAGGTCAAGAAATACTACTTTCTGCCCTAGCACCATTTCTCAAATCACCCCCTAAAAGGTATCTGTACTTGTTTTCTTTCTAAGGTCCCCACTGCGGCTGTCAAAGAGATCTCACTACTTTCCTTGGCTGATGGCACTTGGATATGAAGGAATTTGTGGGAATTTTCTTTACCCATACTTACCGTGTCCAAATGATTGCTTCCAGTCCCCCAAGGAAGTAATTTAAATTGCCATTCGATTTTGAAAGAAGACAACATTTAAGAAAAATGAATTGGATGTTGCTACAGATTGGAAGAATCTATGTTGGGTTAGGAAGATGTTCATGATATTTGTTTATTTGACAGTATGGGTTGTATCTTTCCATTCAGGCCTCAAAATAATAATTTGCCAAAGATAATGGTTGAAGATTAAATTATATAACATGCATAAAAACACTTTTAAAAGGTTACAATACTTTCGCGACGCCACACACACACACAAAAGTCGAATTCTAGAGCTTAAAAACAACTAGAGATCATCTAATTTCATTAAATTGTTTTTTCTCTTTGATTTTCTTTTTTTTTTTTTTGATGCCTCTTCTGAAAGTTCAGAGGAAAATTTTCTCCAGAGGTCTGGACTTCCTTCCTCTCATGTTTCATATCTCAACATATCAACCTCATTTTCAGGGCAGAACAACTTATATATAATTCATCTTTACATTTCTAAACCCATAAAAATGACTTTTGATCTCCAAAGAGTAGTAACACATAGGAAGCATTGCACATTATTTTTAACGTCCATGTCCTTCAACGTTCCTGCAAAAGGTTATCTCTTATCTTCTGGTTTAAGAGAGAGTTGGAGCGCCAATGTGGCTTTTCTAGGTCCCGTTTCAGAAGTCCCCTTTATACCATCAGTTTTTGTAAGGTATTTACCATTGCTCCTGTTATCTTCCTGACTCTCCAACACTGTGTTCGGCAGTGGGCTTCAGACGGTCTTACGCATTTCTGCTAAGCAATCTGTAGTCGTGCTTGCCCCCTTTGTTAGCAGAAGCACCCTTTTCAAGGCAGTAAGCCACTACCTCCTTTTTTATTTAACTAACTTTGTATGTCCAGAACTATAAGACACGGGAGAGACACCCAGGAAAATCAGCATACTTCTTCTTCTCAACTTTCCTACTTGGTCATGCCATTCCCTAGTAAAAACCCTTTGTGACTCTCATTTCCTTCAGGTTAAATCCCAAACTCCTTGGGCAGTCCTGCAAAAACTCAGATGCTCTGGCCCCTGCTACAGACTCCATTGTCTTCTTCTTCTTCTTTTTTTTATAAGATTTATTTATTTTAGAGAGCATGAGAGAGAGCACAAACAGGAGGGGCAGAGGCAGAGGAAGAGAGAATCTCAAGCAGAGTTCCTGCTGAGCTTGAAGCCTGACACAGGGTTCAGTCTCACAACCCATGAGATCATGACCTGAGCCAAAATCACAAGTGAGACGTTTAACCGACTGAGCCACCCAGGCGCCCCATCCATTGTCTTCTTTTATGTTTGTTCCTCACCTCAACCCTGCCTTGTGCTACAGTCCCAGAGTCCCACAGCCAAGCCTCTCCGTCCTGTTTCTCAGCCTTGGCATATCAGACGTGAATGCCTATGGTAGCTTCTCTACCACTCTATCACCTTGGATAATTGCCACTTGTCTTTCCAATACCAGCTTAAATATCTCCTCATTCAGGAAGGCTTCCCTGACCATTCGAGAACTGGGTCAGCTTCTCTCCAGTGTGATCCCACTGCTCTGTGCTCACACATTATCCCACCCTTAGCACAGTGTATGGATCCTTCTGGTTTCATTCTCTGTCTTCTCCAGAAAGACCGTCAATCTTTCCATCCTCAGTGCCCAGCACAATGAAGGCCCTGAGTACATACTATGGAATAAATGAGTGAATGAGGAACTGAAAGAAGGAACCACGTGGCCTTTCCTTCACCCAGGCCTGGGCACAGTGTCCACTAAACTGTCACATCTCCATCCACCTCTCTTCTCCCTCCAAGGAATGCACGGGTATCCTCTGATCATTGTGGATGCTCAGTATCCAAGAACAGTGCTTCCAGAGGCCTGCGTTGTATGTGCACCTGTTCGCGGGTGACCTTGCCTTGGAACTTTTGATATTAACTGTGACTCATAAGAGATGCTGAGCACATGATGTGCAGAATTAGGCTCCACGACACGTGGCAGGCTGATTGAAGTCTGGGCAGCAGGTAGGGCACGAGATGTGACTGTCGATTTACATAATGCTTTTAAGAAGCTTATATTGGGAGAGGACAGAATCAGAATTTGGATCTTTATTTGAAGAAACATTCAAGAGCATCTTAGAAATATCTTCTTTTGAGCAAGATTCTGGCAAGAATTGACATTATTTGATATGGAATTGCAGCTCTGAGTAGCATTGCCCTGAAAGTAGTCTTTTTATTCTCTTCCGAAACACTGCTGGCCCTCGGTAGTTTTCCCCATCAATCACGCTCAGCCTGCCTGGTGGTGTGTCCAGTGAGACTCACGGGAATGACATTTTCCCTTCCCTTTCTTTTCATTCTTCCCCTGTAGGGTAGAAGAGAGGGAAATGGAAGAGGAAGAAATAGATTTGTTTTAGTGATTAATGTGAGAAAAAAAATCAATCTCGCCCTCATGTAATTTGACAGTTGACTTTTTCATCAGGAGCACTGATTCCTGGTGTAAATACATGCAATTGTTTACAGCTTTTGTTCTTGATTTTGGCATGCAGGCGACAGGAGAGTCCAAATGCCAAGCCCAGCAAGGGAATTGGCTTTTTAAAGAAGATTACAAAAGTCTAGTTGCTTACCATTTGACCATTTTAAGTTAGGAAATTTAATCTTTCTGTTTTATTTCTTCATTATTCATATATCTGCTTGTGGAGGGGCCTTTAGTTCCTTTATGTTTTTTTTTTAAAGCATTTATTGCGGGGCGCCTGGGTGGCTCAGTCTGTTAAGTGACTGCCTTCGGCTCAGGTCATGATCCTGCAGTCCTGGGATCGAGTCCCGCATCGGGCTCCCTGCTCAGCAGGGAGTCTGCTTCTCCCTCTGACTCTCCCCTCTCTCATGCTCTCTCTCTCCCTCTCTCATTAAAAAAATAAATTAAAAAAAAATTTAAAAAGCATTTATTGAGTGCCTGCTCTATGTCAGACCCTGCTAGGGGATAGTGAAGCAATATCTTGGTTACTCTGTGTGGACTGTAGTGCTGGAAAGATACCTCAATCACATCATAACCCTAATAAATGTAAAATTACAGCTGTTGTAAATACTGCAAAAGAGAAATACACAGCCCTATCAGTTAACAGTTTCTGATAGCAAGTACCAAAAGATATCTCAGCACCAATGAACAGTAACCATTTCTTTAGTCCTATAGTTCAGTGAGGATATGTGGATCTGAGATGGGCTTAGGGGTACCTCTGTTCACAGGCCTTTCATGCTCCTCTTGGATCCAGCAGGCAGCCCGGGAGGGTTCTTCTCATGGCAAGGGCAGAGAGAGGCATGAGAAGACAAACTAATGGTGCATGAGCTTTTCAAAATTCTTCCCTGTTATCTACTTTCATGCCATCGGCCAAAGGAAACCAATAGCACGCCCAGCATCAATGGATGGGGAGCAATATTCCTCTCTTGGAAATGAGGAGGGATATACTTCTGAATATAAATCCAGCTTATTGTGTTGGTTCATGGAGAGTACTCTATGGATGATTTGGGTAAGAATGAACTAAGTGAGGCAGAAGAGGAACAACTTGACTGGAAGCTCTATGGTGAGAAGGAACATGGCGGGTTTGAGATACTGAAAGAAGGTCAGTGAGGTTGGAGCTCAGAGGATGAGTGGCAACATGGAGCAAACTGCATCTAGAGAGATAAAAAGGGGCCAGACCACAGAGGGACTGGCAGGCTGTGTTAAGGACATTGAATTTTTATCTTAAAGATTCAATAGTCAGTCTTGGAAAGGTATTTGTACATCGTGCTATTCTCTTTCCTTCCTTCTTTTTCTCCTTTATGAATTTGTAACAAAAAATAAAAATGTAAAATTAAATAATATGGATATGGTTTTCAATATGTACTTTTCAAAAGTACCTGCCAGCCAGGAATTCCTTTAGTTTTCTTTTTTTCACATTTTGAATAGTTTGTTCTATTTTATACTCCTTCATAAACTTAAGATAATACACATGGTTAAATTTAAGTAGAAAACTAATGTTACAAAGTATCTTTTTTAAATGGTCTGGCAAAATAAATAAATAAAATAAAATCGTATTGCACCTTATATTAATATGGAATCTTTGTGCATTTTGCTCAAAAGGTAAGGGTTTTACCTGACAGCATACCGAGTAAACCTGGATACTCTTCTATTTCTTACCCATTTTCAACTATGCGTATTTGGTAAGGGGACTGAAGTCTTGGCATAAGCCTTCTTCTGCCTCATTTTCTCTTTATAGAATATTCTAATTTCCACTCAAAGATACATTTTTAAAATTCCTTGGCAAAGAGTATTTTCATAATGTGAATATATCTAGGGTGATCATATAGTTTTGATCCAGTCCAGGATAATTTTGAGAGTGAAAGCAAGCCCCATTAAGAATAACATATAAATCAAGACTGTCCTGGGCAAACTGGATGTCTGCCCACCCTAAATATATCCAGATAGAATTAAGCCCATTAAGACAAAATGTGGTTCCTCTTCCCTGTGTGGTTAGGAAAATGATTACCAGTACTGGGTCTTGTGCACGATACCTGGAGGTGTGTTTAACTCAGATTCCTCTTCAGGAATGGATAGACTTGTAAGAATCTGATGAAATGATACCTAACACATAGTAAACACTCAACAAAGGTTATTACATGCAGTAAACTGAAAAGGATATATAATGGATTATGGAACCAATGTCCAGTTTCTCGTTTCTAAGAAACTTGTGATAACCCTTAAGTAAGGTGACCAAGAGACAATTTCCAGTATGGCCTCCTGCGAACCCCAGTTTCCTTGTCCCCTGAGCTGTCCATTTTGGGACATCTGCTGCTTGCTCCAGAGGCCTTATTATTCATTTTGGAAAGTGCCAGTTTTTTGTATTGCAGATGCAACAGGCAGACACTGTTCACTGAATCTTCATGAATCGCCATCTTGAGAGGACTTTTCTCCCCTCCTGAAAGCTCTGTGGCATACTGGCTCTCCATGCCACCTGTGGATGGACACAGCCACTCTCTCTGCTGAGATCAGAATTGGTCACAAGGTGGAAATGTAAAATCTTCAAACCGATTTTGGAGATAAGCGATTTTAAGCACAGAGCAACAGCTGAGAGTGGGTCTCTTGCACAGCTCCTCAACACTTCTTAAATAACATGGTAAATATGCTTTAGTGACAAAAGCTCAGAGATAGTGTTGCTTAATCATTTCCTGCTTCTGTCGTTAGGGCTAGATTTCACCAACACCTCATGTAGTTAGCTATTCAGTGTCAAGGTGCTATCCCATACCCAGATGCCTACCAGGATTTCAGCCAGATTTCTGTTGCTCTCTCTGGATAGCAATATTCCAAATGTATTCAAGAGAGCACTTGCACAATGTATCGACTTTCAAGGTTAGATGGGGCTGGGAAATGCTACACATCATGGCTCCTTCTTAGAGATCCATAACTCATTAGCATATTAAAGACTGGTATGCCCTAGAGTAAAGACATCAGTTTAATGTTGACTCAGCATAACCCAAACTTATTTGACCGTGACGCCCTTCAGTCATTAACAACTATTAATAATCATGGTGCTAGTAAGGAACATCCATAGAAAATGCTGCCCCATAAAATATAATTCTATTCTTATTCACCTCAGATATTTCTTTAAAAACATCTGCTTTTGTAGGCACCATGCAGAGGTGATCTGTTTTAGTGCTCTTGGAAGGCACATATGATCAGTAAATTCAGTTCCTAAGCAGTTTACGTGATTACATGATAAATCTGAAGCACATGCAAATTGTCCTGGAGTCTGTGCAATATTAGACCTACTGGAAAGGAAATCAAGCTGTGGGTGCACAATTAAGTACTTTAATAGAACATGAAAACAAAATGGATGACACAATTCATCTATTATGCCATCATTTCTATGCAACTAATAAGCATGGAATAAATCTGGGGTTAAAAGTGATAAATCCGGTACACTGATTTCTGATTTAAGAGACTAAAACTCTGAGGGGTTTGGGCTAGCCAAGTAAGTGGGGTTAAGGTGGTCAAATCCTCACCTTGGCATGTTCAGAAACTTAACTTCATGAATTGCTCTAAGTGTAATTCAATTCTAAGGGACTGATCCAAATACATAACTCCTAGGGGCACCTGGGTGGCTCAGTCAGTTAAGCATCTGCCTTCGGCTCAGGTCATGATCCCAGGGCCCTGGGATTGAGCCCTGCATCAGGCTCCCTACTTAGAGGGAAGCCTGCTTCTCCCTCTCCCTCTGCTGCTCCCCCTGCTTCTGCCCTCTCCCTCTCTCTCTGTGTCAAATAAATAAATAAAATCTTAAAAAACCCAAATACATAACTCCTAGAGTCATAAATCTGAATATAAATTTATTTATTCATAATCGGGTGCAGGACTCTGTGCATTACTTCATTAAAATCCCTTGCCCACTCACATTCTGACTCCCTGGGCCTTAGTGAAGACAGCTGCCTTTGGCTTCCCTGGGAGTGAATTTCTTTTCCATAAAAGTTTGATGCCTGAGAGGTTCCGTGGTCGCCCCTGTGCCGTCCTGACTTGGGAATCTTAGCCGTGTGGACAATCCATCCATGAATCCAATCCATCACTGAATCACTGCCTCTCCCACAAGAGACTCATCTGTCCTCACGTAAATGGAGCCCCTCTCAACCCTCTGGCGGGTTGACGCAGACCCACCTGTACATGTCTGATTTCACAACACAGAGGCAGCTTAAGTACTCACACGAAGACCCTGCACAAACTATTACAGAGGTTTATATCCATGATGCCAATTACTTTGGCATCAGCTAGTGATGACCATTAATTATGGCACTGATAACATTTGGAAAAGCACTTGGAGGTCCCAGGGCAGTAGCTATTATATACTGTTTCTTCCCCAGAAGCAGTTAATTGAACAGATATTCACATGGGGGATTGTCAATTTTCTTGATACATGCATAATAGCAAGTGTGACATAGCTTTGAAAGTAAGTTTTGTGTTCACTTAGTGCGCTGCAGGATAAAAATGAATTGAGCCACTATACCTGTCTTAGCTAATGGCTTTCATCTTCCAAGTCTTTTCATCTTATTCTCATCTCTTCCTTCCACTTCTGTACATTTTGAATATGAACTTATGTGGTTCCAAAGAAGTTCTTAACATAGACTGTATGACTATGTGATAGTAAAAATCAAATGTCAGTATATTTTCTAATGCTAGACATTATCAAAAGCAGGCAAATGCAACACATGGAGGTAAAGGGGCGAGTGCGTCCATGCAAATTTGGAGCTCACACCTGTGGATCTATGTGGGAAAGCTAAAGATTGTTATTCCTATCTTTCCAGAAAACATATTCGGCATCCCCATGCAGGAGTCTTTGTTTATAG